CTGAGTTTAGACATGCCAGGAGCATATGATGTTTTACTATGGGTAATGCCTTGTCATCTGCGGAATCAGAGGAAATAAAAAGAAAAGAACAAAATGAGAGAGTCTTATTGGTGAAAACCTTCACAGGCACCAAAAGGAGACGGTGAGTTGAGAGAAAGAATAAAATGAGAGAGGCTTGATGGTGAAAACCCTTCGGGCACCACAACTCGAATAAGGATCGTGAATCAGCTAGGATGATCGGAGCATTGAAGCCCAGTTTCACGCCGAAGAGGTACAACAAGAGTTGAACATTAGACTTTCTTGACAGATTAGGCCATTAATCCAAAAATGTGTGTCATGGTCATTAGAGTTGGTATCCACATTTGATAAGTATCTACTTGTAGTTTTCTTGTTGGGAATCATCTCTTTCCATTGTCCTTTACTCTGTTTCTTTTGTTTTGTTTACTTCCTCTTCTTGAGTCAGTTTGGTCAAAACAAGTGAGTAATGACTTCAAAATATGCTACCAGCTTTTCAATTGCACAAAGCAGAATCTGGCTAGTGCATCAGAGTGGTATAAGTCAAGAAAGAGCAGTATGTGCACTGAGTTGGTAACAATCAACGCGCTTTGGGATTCGTGAAATACAAAGGTTCGGTATATGACAATTCATGAACAATGCAACAGTTAGAGGTTGTTGGGTTTGAACGGATTAAAGGTATTTTCTGTGATAAGGTTGACAGAGAAAGTGGTATAACCAATAACAAGCAAGGTCTTCCAAGTGGAAATCAAAGTTATCATGGAAAGTGAAGGAGCAATAGACCTCAAGGCCACGGCCAGTGGCATACCTTAGGAAAGAACAGCAAGCGCACTAAGTGGGTGGCAATTGACGTGCTTTGGGATTCATGTGAAACACAAAGGTTCGGTATATGTCAATTCATGAGCACAATGCAACAGATAGAGGGCTTGGGTTTGAACTAATCAGAGGTATTTTCTGTGATAAGGGTGACAGAGAAAGTGGTCAGTCAATAAACAAGCAAGGTCTTTCAAGTTGAAATCAAAGTTATCATGGGAAGTGAAGGAGCAATCGCCCTCAAAGTCAAGGCCGCAAACCAACCACCATGTTTAAACTCACAAGTTTTCTTTGATTGAAATAGGGGCAAAAAATTTCGTTTGTTTTGGAGAAACCCTCCATAAGGAAAGCAAGCGCCAGACAGGCTCGGCAGAAGTGCCAGTACCCTCCTGGATAACAGGATTTAGTAAGTTTTGAGGCCCTCGCAAATGACAAGGTCTGACGAGAGGTCTACTTTTGGGAAGTGTAATTTGGCATTTAAGTTTTTCACCCTTGAGATGAAGCTTGGTTTGAAATTATCAGGATAAAGGAATTTAGTTTAGAATTTATTTTGATAACAAGAATCAGTTAACACTCACAGATGTTCCAAATATCAAACTGGGGCAGGAAAATTTCTTCGTTTTGTCTGTTTTGTTGAAATTAGGTGCCCACCCGAAGAACAAGGGAAAACAACACAAGTTTCGAGAATAGAAAGCAGTTCATGTTCGAGCAATCAGGAGCCCACCTGGAGAACAAAGGGAAACAGTTCATGTCTCAAGGAAAAACAGTGTAAATGCTGGTAATCAGGCACCCACCTGGAGAACAAAGGGAAAGCAACAATGTTCAAAGGAAGACAGCAATCAGGAGCCCACCTGGAGAACAAAGGGAAACAGTTCAAGTCTCAAGGAAAAACAGTGCAAATGTTGGTAATCAGGCACCCACCTGGAGAACAAAGGAAAAGCAGCAATGTTCAAAGGAAGACAGTAATCAGGAGCCCACCTGGAGAACAAATGGAAACAGTTCAAGTCTCAAGGAAAAACAGTGCAAATGTTGGTAATCAGGCACCCACCTGGAGAACAAACGGAAAGCAGCGATGTTCAAATGAAGACAGCAATCGGGAGCCCACCTGGAGAACAAAGGGAAACAGTTCAAGTCTCAAGGAAAAACAGTGCAAATATTGGTAATCAGTCACCCACATGGAGAACAAAGGGAAAGCAGCAATGTTCAAATGAAGACAGCAATCAGGAGCCCACCTGGAAAACAAAGGGAAAAAAAGTCAAGTTTCGAGGAACACAATTCAAATATTGGTAATCAGGCGCCCACCTGGAGAAAAAAGGGAAAGCAGCAATGTTCAAAGGAAGACGGTTCAAGTTCAGCAATCAGGCGCCCACCTGGAAAACAAAGGGAAAACAAGTCAAGTTTCGAGGAAAAGCAGTGCAAGTGTTGGAAATCAGGCGCCCACCTGGAGAACAAAGGGAAAGCAGCAATGTTCAAAGGAAGACGGTTCAAGTTCAGCAATCAGGCGCCCACCTGGAAAACAAAGGGAAAACAAGTCAAGTTTCGGAGGAAAGGAAGATAATTCAAATGTTGGTGATCAGGCGCCCAACTGGGGAACAAGGAGAAGGCAGTCCAAGTTTCGAAGGAAGACAGTTCGAGTATTGGCAATCAGGCGCCTACCTGGATGATAAGGGAATTCACTTCAGAATACAATTCAAGGCAGCAACTAAGGAATCTCACCGGGAGAGTACAAGTCAACAGAGCAGCAGAAACTGCAAGATCAAGTTTGAAGAAGTGAAGATAGGATTCTTGTAATTCATAGATCATAGCTTAGTCTAGTTTCTTTTATTTTGTCTTGGTGTAATAAGGAGTTCAGCAAGCAGAAGCAGCAGCAGCAACAGCGAAATCACAGCTTCCTGGTAGTCCCAGCTACCGAAACTTCTCGAACTACACTGACCTGATTCCTTTATAGCCAAGGATATGTAGGCAACCTCGGAAGCAAGGTGCGGTCAAATCTTTCAAAAATGCTTCCCACGGAGTATTCGAACGGGCAAAAATCGCTCGTATCCGCTCACTTTATCTTTGCACGAAAACTCTTCGTGTTTCCGAGCAAAGAGGGGCAGCTGTGAGCACGTGATTTTTGCCCTATGTGAATTACTCCCATAAAATACAAGAAAAACAATTTTTTCCGTTTTTTTTTCCAACAATTTTATAGGATTTTGTGGGGATTTGTGCTAATTATTTGCATTTCTGTGCATGTTTATTTTTGTTAAAATCATGAAAATGCCAAAAATACCATGCATTGCATTTAGGTGTCATTTTCATATTTTTAGGACTAATTAGTTAATTATTTAGTTCATTAAAAAATGAAAATCACAAAAATGGCTTACTTTTGTAAATTTAACCTTTTAATTTTAAATTAGAAATTTCCTCTTTCAATTTAGGAGTAATTAATTTTTGTAAATATTATATTATATAATTAGCTTAATTTTGTAAATTAATTTAGTTTACGAATTTAATTTAGGAATTCAATTGATTAAAAAGGGAAAAGAAAACAAAGGAAAAGAAAGAATTGGAAAAGGGTCAATTTGGTTTTGGGATTTGGCCAAAGTTAGAATCAGCCCAAATTTTTCGCCCAGTCCACCCCATGCCCGGCCCAAACTCTTCAGGCCTTGAGACAGCTAAAATGACGTAGTACTGAGTCAAACTACGTCGTATTGAGTTAAAACCAGTCCGTTTAATCCTGACCCCTCGATGTTCTCTCATCCAATGGCCGTGAAGGTTTTTCCCATTTCGTTTAAAAGTGTCCAAACGTCCCTAAAATAACCTAGGACCCCTGTTCTATCTTCTCTTTCACCCTCATCTCTCACCACCATCCGCCGCCCACCGGAAATCGCTAGCGGCGGTGGTTGCTCTCCAAACCCCCTCAAATCTTGACCATATAACCACCTTTGCCCCTCAATTCCAAATCCACCCTTGTTTCCTCCCCCAAACCACTCGTCCTCTCCGAAGCAAAGATCTAATATAGCAATAAAATCTTCTTCGCCCTTTTTTTTTTGATTTCCGCCCAAGCTAGCCACTTCTTGGTGTTGAACATGTGTGAATCGACCAGCTTCGAGTGAAAAGCCAATTGGCTGAAAGTTCGTTTTGTGCATAGTGGCCGAGCCTGGTCAACAATCTCCGATGGGCCTCTATTTTTGTTTCTTCTTCGTTCTTGACTGGTGATGGGGACTGTGACAAAGAGCACAAGCCATTGAAGAAATTCCGGCTAGTGCTCAATGTTACAGTTCACACCATGGGGTTGAGATTCTTCACGCCGGATGCCATCACCGTTGAACCATCGATCTAGCCGGTATACTTCTATTCCTCTTCATCTCAGTTGGGTTTAGAAATCATAGGTTTTTCAGTCGATTAATTTGGTAATAATAGGTTAAGAAGCACAGTTAAACTCTTTGTTAGCACTTGTTAATTTTCTTCTTTCCTTTTACTTCTTCCCTTTTATTCTGCTCCGTTAGAAGATCTGATGTTAGTAGGATTCAGAATTGGGTTAGTTTGGACTTTCTTGTGAATTCATTTGCTTAGACTTGAACTTGGGCTTGCTAGTGCAAGAAGCCCAAAGAGCTTGTTGAAGTTCATTGGTGCAGAAGCCCAAAGACATTTGGACGGATTGGTTCAAATGTATGGTAAGTTGAAGTAATTATTAAGCCTTCTGAGGGGTAGTTAGGGGAATTGAATAGGAGGAATCTTGGCTAACTGCCTAGGAAGCTGCCAGGAAGGTGGGAATTGGGCAGTTCAGCAAACAGGTTTAAAATTCAGGGTTGGAATTGAACAAAAGGAAATTGAAGAGGGGAGGGCATTGAATGAATAAAAATTAAGTTTGCTGCCCTAGAATCTGGCTATCAAAGGCTCATTTCCTGCATTTTTAGGCAGAGATTAGAGACCCAAAAAAGAGCAAACGGCTGAAACCTTTTTCTGAAAATATTGGTGCTTGTTTTCAACCTTTCACTCTTTTCTTCTTCACAAAAGTTTGAGGGAAACTCTCCATTCGATTTCTGGTGATTTTGGAGTAAAGGAAATGACTTAATTTGAAGCTAACATTGATTATTGCTGTTGCATTTTGTCTGTTGTTCCTGCTGCTTCTTTTGTCCTTTATCGAGCTCAAGATTTACTCCTTTGCTTTGATTGCCTGTATCCAGGTACTCCTCGTGGGCTTTTTGTGAAATGTAAAGCTGAAGAACAACATGCTTGATTTGAAGTGGAAATTTCAGAACATATTTAGTTTAATATGTGTTTGATCTCCTTCTTTTGTCAGACGTTTGTTGCTATTTGTTAAGCATGTTTAAGAACCATATTAGTTTATAGCTTAATCATTTTATTAAGGTTGGAAGTGGCCCTTTCATACAAATCAGTGTGATGTACCACGGACTGTAATTATTTGAGACTTTATTCAAGTTTGTAGGCTATGTTCATATGATTGTTAAGAGTGAGTTTAGTTCATACACAAACTCCAAAATGATTCCATGTTACCCTATAGCTACTGCATGTCTACTCAAATCTCTGAACATGTAACATTGCATTTGAGAGTTATTTCCTTAATACTGCAGGGTAAAAATTATGACTCCATTTGTGTGATAAAGGTCGTGTAAATGCCTTGCTTTTTTTATTTTATTTTTTTCCAGAATTTTATATACCATGTTGTGTATGGGTCAATAGTAAGTTGGGTCTCATTAGGATCCAACGAAGTGTTCTGGGCTGGAGGTGATTAAAAGAGATCTGAGTCTCAATTGGGCCTAGAATTGGTCCATCAAAGATAGCCCAATCGAAAGCTCCCTCTTTGGACCCTGCTGTCTATTTAGTTGTTTGTTCTAAGTTAAATTCAAAGATTAAATCGATTTTGTTGGTTGATTTCTTTAAGCATGTTGTTAATCCGTTTAGTATGAGTTGGAGTGTTGGGAAATTTCAGAACTGGGCTCAATGCTGGCCCAATTGAGATGGCTGAGTCAATTGGGTTGTTCTTTTCATCCGCCCGTCCCCTTTGGATTTAATTTCAGCCCAAGTCCCCAATAGGGACTCTTAGCTTTCTTGATAGCAATTAGCATTTTGTATCTTGCAAGCCTTAGTGTCCATTAGGCCTAATTTAGTATCATTTCTTTTAAAAACGAATTGAGGTGTGCCATATCAAACAAGACCTATAATTTATGGCCCTCATAAGACAAGATCAAGAAATCACCCTTGAAGAAAGAAATTTGAGGCGTGCCATAAGCAAATTAAAATACCTATGGCCCTCACAAATGTTATAACTTAGACATTAAAAATGAACTTCGTAGTTTGCTTCAGGCGCGTTAATCATATAATTATCATGGCTACTACTATTAAAACCCGGGGGTACTTTTCATATGACACGGTTATAATTTCCAACAAGGTTAAATAGAACGTGCCGTGAATCACGGGTGCATTTCATGTAGCGTGGTTTGCGATGTGTTTTAAATAACCTTGAATTAATTCTTTGAACAAATAAAAGCGGTGATAAAGTTAAAAAATGCACATAGGTTTAAAAGTGTTTTAAAACCAGATAAATAGGCCAATATTAACAATTGAGCGACCGTGCTAAAATCACGGAACCCGGAAATGCCTAACACCTTCTCCCGGGTTAACAGAATTTCTTACCTGGATTTCTGTGTTCGCAGACCGTAAATAGAGTCAAACTTCCTCTATTCGGTATTTCAAACCGGTGACTTGGGACACCAATAAACTATCCCAAGTGGCGACTCTGATTTTAATATAAATAATCCCGTTTCGATTGTCACTTAAATTGGAAAAACTCCCTATATACCCTTCCGGGGTGTAGGAAAAAGGAGGTGTGACACATGCTTTCAGCCTCATCTTTTGACTTAAGAAGATATATCTTAGTGTATCTAGAAAAGTCATTTACAAAGGTGATGTAGTATTTCTTTCCACCCTTACTAACAGTGTTCTTAAAATCTGCTAAGTCTGAATGTACTAGTTCAAGCAATTCTATTTTTTTACTAGTTACATTCTTACAAGGCTTTTTGGTATGTTTTGCTTCTACACAAACAGGAAACTTAGAGAAATTATCAACATTAACCGCAGGAATTAATTCCATTTTTCTAAGTCTTTTAACAAAAACATTATTAACATGACTTAGTCTATCATGCCACAAATCAATAGACTCAGCAATATAAGAAGAATTGAAAGTACTAGCATTATTAGTAATCTCTTGAGCGATGTTCACTATAAATAAACCCCCACTAAGGTAACCCTTCCCAACAAAGTCTCCTCCACGAGAAATAAAAACTTTATCAGATTCAAAAATAAGTTTAAGACCTGCTTTGTTGAGAAGCACACCAGAAACTAAGTTTCTACAAAGGGAGGGTACATACAGAACATTGTTCAAGGCTAAGGTTTTTCCAGAAGTTAACTTTAGGAGAATTTTTCCTTTACCTATAACTCCAGCTGTAGTGGAGTTACCCATGTAGACACACTCGCCATTAGCAGATTCCTCAAAGTCGTGAAACAGCTCCTTGTTGGCGCAAAGGTGCCTTGAAGCGCCTGTGTCCAGTATCCAGTCAGTCTTGTTAGCCACCATGTTCACCTCAACAATCACGGTAGCAATGACATCGTCAACAACAACAGTATTAGCAGCATTAGGATTATCAGCAACAATATCAGCAGGAGGATCGTTAAACAAAACATAATCAACTTTTAATTGTTCAAAGAAAATTAAAAGTTGCTTATAATTATTTCCATCTAAAGGCTCAAGCTTTGAGAGATCAGGAAGTGCTTTGTTCAAAGTGGTGTCCATTAGTCAATATTATATGAGAAATCGCTTTCAAATTGTAAGAAAATGAGTAGATAATATTGACTAAGAACAAGAAGGAAAAAAGAACAACTTATCAAATATAATATGTCGTGGCAAGCCACTGCCTTGAAAGCGATTTCGGCCCGACTAGGTGCAAATTGTTAAGACCTGTCGCTCCCCAAGGTTCCACAGCACCTCCAAACACGTGCACTCGTGGCTGGAAGTTTAGAATTTGCACAAAATAGTTGCCCAGAAAGAAGAGGAGATGAAGGTTTTTTTAGTAGTTGTTACAGAAATTAAAATATTGTAGGAAGAAAGTAATAATTAGCAAGATGAATTCTTGGTTAAAAATTGAGTGAATATGATGGCTAATGATCATCTTATTTATAGGCAATTAGGGAGGTTGCATGTATGACAAGTGTGGAGAGCCTTTTAACACTTGTCCAAATATATTAGTCTATTTATAAAGTGTACCTAGTCTTCCATGCATGAAAACACATGGTAGATTTGCATAGCCACTTATCAAAGCCATTCAACACTTGGCTTTAAATCAATGCCACATGTAAAAACTCTTGCCATGTACCAATTATCTAAGAGTATTTGGCCACTTGGAAATAGGTAGGATACTAGTAAAATAAAAAGACCCATGGCTATTGGCTGTAAATGAATTTGCAAAAAGAAATCTTTGACTTTTCATTATATATTAATACCAGTAATTACATACTCATTAATCACGATAACTAGGGGTGCACAAACCGAACCGAAAAACTGCACCAAACGGATTAAAAACCCCGACTTGACTTGGTTTGATTTGGTTTGGTATTGAGTAAAAAAATCCAAACCAACCCGACATATAAATATATAATTTTTATATATATTTTTAAGATTTTATATAAAAATTTCTTTAAAAAATATCTAAAAATATTAGGGATTCTCTTGCGGGATATAAATTTTAATAGAATATGAAATGCTCCATATTTATTGACCTTAAATAATGGGGTGTATGATCACTTTCTTACCAAGTGTTACTGAAATGCGTCTATCTCTTTGTTCTTCCATATTCATATCATATGTTAAGATCTATTAAATTCTTATTTCTTTTTCGAATGTGAAGTGGTTATTAATATTTAGGTATCATATTGATTTTTATGTTTAATTATTACTAAATTCGGTTAACCTGAAAGTGTATGTCAACAAAAAATTATTGTGATGCGACTAAAAAGATAAGAATGGTCCCATAAGAATATTTTAATCGATAATATGTTTGTCAATTTTTTATATTTTTACTAAATAGATATATACTTATCAAATATTTAACAATGTAAGATTAAAATAATATGTAAGCAACAAAAAACCCGAAAACTCGAAAAAACCCGACAAAATCGAACCAATCCAAATCGCTATAGTTGCTTTATTTTTTGATAAAAACCGAACCAACTCGGTCCATGTACACCCCAAACGATAACTATCGGAATTAAACCAAAAAGGTATGAAAAAGACATGTTAACATGAGCACTTAAGTAACTCTTCCAAAATCTTCTTCATAAAATAAAGAACATATTATTTTGAAACTACACCTTGATATTCAGCTTCAACCTTGCCCAAAATAATGCTATTTTACACTTTTCTTCTTTAGTTTTTCTTCTGCGCCATTGTCAAAATTTTGAGGTGAATGAACACGGGTGGAGGAGAAAATTATTCCAAAAGGATGCATTTATAAGTTAGAAATTATGACGATCCGGCCGATCGTCTTGTGTATTGTATTCACGTTTCCCTGTTTTATTGTTTATTTTATGTTCACTTGTGGTTACATGACATGCCGGGGTGGCTGATTTGGTTCCGGGGATGTTCTAGAGTAAATTGGGATCTTAGTCCCAAGGTTGGAAGCTTAAGTTGAAAGAGTTGACCGGATATTGACTTTTGTGTAAACAACTAGGAAATAGAGTTTTGATGGCCTTGATAGTTTCGTATGGTGATTTTGGACTTAGGCGTATGTCCGGATTTGGATTTGGAGGTCCGTGGGTCGTTTTGGCTTGAATTGGCAAAAGTTGGAAAGTTGAAGGTTTGGAAGGTTGAGTAGTTTGACCGAGAGTTGACTTTATTGATACCGGCTCTGATTTTGGTTCCGGAAGTTGGAGTAGGTCTGTTGTGTCATTTATGATTTGTGTGCAAAATTTGAGGTCAATCAGAATTGGTTTAGTATGATCCGGCATTAGTTTTAGAAGTTGAAAGTTCATTAGTTCATTAGGCTTGAATTGTGGTGCGATCGTGATTTTGATGTTGTTTGATGTGATTTGAGGCTTCCACTAAATTCATATAGTGTGTTAGGACCTGTTGGTATATTCGGATGGGATCCCGGGGGCTCGGGTGTGATTCGGATCAAGTCCGAACTTATTTTGGACTTTATTGGATTATTGTTATCTGAGCTTCTAGTTTCCTCTTTCGCGATCGCAAGGAGAGGGCCGTGATCGCAAATGGTAAGGTCTGACAGGTGGGAATTTGTTCAATGCAATAGTGAAGTTCTGAGTGTTTGTGCACCGCGAACGCGAGTGAGGGGGACGCGTTCGCGAAGAAGGAAGTAGAGG